TCTGTTTCTCGGCATCATTCTATCTGGATTCAGAAATCTTTTGAATGCAAGCAGAATAGATAGGTGTTCCAGGAATGTGACTGGGAAGCTTGGATAGTGCCAAGCACTGGCCTTGTCTTATCTTCCTTTCTACTCCTCACTCCTTCCAAACAAAAGCTCATTGCACAGGGACCTTTATTTCCTTTAGTCTGTAACACCTTCAACTCCATCAGCTTGCTGTAAGAGGGGTATTTCTAACTGTATTCTAAAAAACTAAGGAACTGAGATTTTAGCTTGCAAAACATTGGCTAATCATGACTAATGCAATCAAATATATGTAAAAATACTCCACAGAAGGAAATATGGCATGAAACAATGTTTATTAAAAAGGACTGTACAGACACGCTGAACATTTAGCACATTACTCCAACTGGGCACAGGAGTATAATATTTAAAACACAGAACCCATTGAAACTCAAGGCTAGCACTAATGAATATAACTAATGAGGGAAAGGCAGAAGGCTCTCAAATAAGGATGAACAGTGTCTTTTGTATTTTACTTACTAAGGATGTTAGTTAGCTCTTACCTGAGCCCTGCTGGAGCAGTCTGATCTTAGAAGCAAAACAACTGGGGCTATACTTTCAGAAATGGCCTCTAATTTTGTAACTTGCAGTAGAGGGCAGGTTCACTTAATTGCAAGCATGCTGATGGTAGGGTTGCCAACTTTCTAACTGCAGAAAATCGAACATCACTGCCCCTTTCCCGAGGCCCCACCCCCCGCTCACTCCATCCTCCCTCCCTCCGTCGCTTGCTCTCCCCCACCTTCATTCACTGTCACCAGGCTGGGGCAGGGGGTTGGGGTGCAGGAGGGGGTCAGGGCTCTGGCTGGGGGTGTGGTCTCTGGGGTGGGGCTGAGGGGTTCAGGGTGTGGGAGGAGGCTCCGGGCTGGGGCAGGGGTACGGGGGATGAGGGCTCTAGCTGGGGGTACAGGCTCTGGGGTGGGGCCAGGGCTGAAGGGTTCAGGGTGCGGGAGGGGGCTTAGGGCTGGGGTAGGGGGTTGGGGAACAGGAAGGGGTTCAGGGTGCGGACTCTGGGTGGCACTTACCTCTGGCAGCTCCTGGGGAGCGACCACATATCTCTCCAGCTCCTAGGTGGAGGTGCGGCCAGGGGGCTCTGCGTGCCTGCAGGGGCTGCCTCCGCAGCTCCCATTGGACGTGGTTCCCGGCCAATGGGACCCACAGAGCCGACACTCGGGGTGGGGGCAGCGCGCAGAGCCCCCTTGGCCACGCCTCCACCTAGGAGCCAGAGGGACATGCCGGCCACTTCCTGGGAGCCGGGCATGGAACCTGCCTATGCCGCCCACTGGACTTTTAACGGCCCGGTTAGCAGTGCTGACCGGAACCGTCAGGGTCCCTTTTCAACCAGGTGTTCCAGTCAAAAACCCGACACCTGACAACCATCAGTTAACTCTTGAGTGCACATATTAAAATATGAATTGTCAAAGTTATTCATAGGTGCAAAATTAGAGGCCACTGTTGATCTTTAGAGGCTTTTACTTTACCAGAAAATACAGAAATTATATAATAAGAACTATGGTGCAGATCGTTTGCTCATATGCCTAAAAGAGCAAGAAATCAATAAGGGGTGTCATTTCAGAAAAATTCTGGACAGGGGGAGGAGGTGGCAAAGTTGTGTCATCATATAGAAAATTATATGCGATTATATTATAATCCTGCAAAGTCTGGGGGGGAAGGGGGATTGCAAAAAATGGAAGACATAATGGAGCATACAGACCTATGAGAAGTCTTGAGGGACCACTGCCCCCCTTTCCCCATAGCAAATGAGGCCCCTGAAATCAATATTTCATAATATAGGTTTGTATAGTCTCTTAACGAGAAAAAAGATGAGTGGAAAAGAAAGGGCCCAGTGCTGTCATGTCAGAAGCCATCCAATAATCTTCCTGCAATCTGCAACAGGGGTAACAGGAGAATACTGTTTTCCCTATGAAAGAACCCCTCTCCCTTAAATACATAAACAACTTTTGACTCCTTGGGGTCATAGTTTGACTTACTACTAGAAATGCACATTATTCATATGGCACAATTTTGTAAAAAAGAAAAAAATACAAAACCAACAAAGCACGCTATTGATATGGCACAGCTTTGTAAAGAATATGAAAACAGCCATGTAAATACTAATACATGATGGGTATAAACTAGATATGCAACATGCACATATTATAAAAATGTGTTTTTCCTTATTTTTAAAAAAAGTTAGCTTGTTAAACACGAAGGTGCCAGAGACTAGATTTAAAAAAAAAAAAAAAGTGCAGAGCACTGACTTAGAAAATGGTACATCTCCAAGCACTCTTCAGTTCAGTCAGAGCTCTGCTCTAGAAATCCCCAAGGAGGAAGTAACTCTGGAATGTAACAGTGAAGTGAGAGTAGTCAGGACAAAGTCTATCCCTTCAGCTATCCACAGGACAGGATGTCACAAGGACTTTACAAATCTACTTTTCTGAGCAAACTACTTCATTGCAGACCCATTTGCCCAATGTCCATTGTCATTACTTTTTGAAATTATGTATATATGCTATTAACAGGATGATGCTCCCTCTCATGAATTCAGATTAAGGGCCCTTATGCTGCCTTCTAACTATACACATTTTCCATTAACCCCAACAGTCACACTATTGAGGGCAGGTAGCATATGGCCCTTCAACATTTAAAAGTAGAATACAGCATTTATTTTTAATAAACAGGAGTCAAGACATAAAAGACTGTCAGTCAATGTCACCACTGCCCTCTACTGAATGGAATGTCAGATTTGATCAAGAATGTGTCTGATCAGATTACCTTCTAGTGGCTATATCCCACAGAGGCTCTTAGTCCTAATACTAAATCTAACAGAAAAATGCCCATTTATATTGAGTGGTAGAGGCCTGTATTTTCAGAAGCAGAAGGTTCTGAGTGCTCTCGCTGCTGATAGATGTTTATATGGTTATGAAACTATTACAACACTACAAGATGAACTAAACTTGCAATAAGTGGCTCACTTCAATAAAATCCCGTTGGGACAACTGGGCCTATAATGTTTTGCCTGTTGGGAATTAATCATGAAAAGTAGGTCAAGTTATTTTTTATGCAGAATGGTATAAACAGGTGCAAGAAAACCAGACAGAAAAACGGAATTAGTCCAAACTCAAAGGTGTACTGATAAAACTCTAGGATGGTGTGGAGAAATGAACAAGAAAGAAAGTGTGGGTCTGGAAATTAATTAACTAAAACTGGTATGTTAGAAACGTGGCCTAACTGGTGGACAAATTAGAGAGGGGAAGAGCTATTTCACCCATCATTCCCTTTGTGGGTCCTTAAAGGAAGAGACTTTGTGGGGAAAATACGGAAGAACAGACAGACAGACGACTGAAGCAAGCTTCACCATCCTGGCGGCCACTCCCACCATTTCCTGGGACCCCAAGCCTTTGCCTTCCTAATCCTGAGAGATGTCCTGACCAGACTGGGCCAGAGAGAGGGACTCAGGTGACATCACCACCTCTACTGGCTCCAGCTGACTCCCAAACACCACCTGGGACGAAATGGGATCAGACTTTAACAAGAACAATAACAGCTCCAGCCCAGCTCAACTAACTTCTTCTCTTTTCCCCAATAGGAGAGTTATTACCATCTTTGATACTATCTAAGAGACTGTCCAACAAGGGATTTTTCCTTCTAAAACTCTTTCCAGCTAAAAGGAACAAGGGATGTTGTTCAAATTAAAGCCCTATTTAATACTGCACATTTCAAATGCTTTAACTGTTTTTCCTTCTTTTCTGTATCTTTAATAAAAGGTTAATAGGATTTTGAATGGTGTGTTTGCCATGGTACTAAGCAGGCTGATGTCGCTGTATAGCAAACTCTGGACAGAAACTGGGTTATGTTAACACCTTTGGCACATTTATTCCATCTAAATAATACAACCACACAGTCACCCTGTGGCAAGCAGCGGGGGACTTAGGGCAATTCATGTGCTTTGGCCAGCAAAAGCTTTTTATGTGGGTTTGTATGGTCCCCAGTAGCAGGTAAAGTCTCCTCACCAGGGTGTGGCTTATTCTGTGTTTAACTAAAACAAAAATCCTTAATACAGTGGTCCCCAAACTTTTTCTGTCACACCTCCCCTTACCAGTAATGGAATCTATTCTCCCCCACATCCCCACCCCTGAGGAGCTGTGGTCGGGAGCCGGGTCAGGGCCCGGGGCTGGAAGTGGAGCTGTGTTCAGGATTGGGAGCCCAGGCTGGGGCTGGAGCGGAACTGGGGACAGAGAGGGGCTGGATGTCCCTCCCTCTCCGCTCTCCATGGGGGCTGGCCTGGGCCCCCCCAAACCTGAACGTACCTCCATGCCCTCCTGGGGGGGGGGGAGGGGAATGTCCCACAGTTTGGGGTCCTCTGCCTTAATACAACCACTCCAGCACAAGTATGGATGAAGGATTGGGGCAATGGAGAGGGGAGGATAAAAACCTAGGGAAGGGGCTCCCTCCTTCTGTAATCCCAAGTGTTATTGAAAAGAATATTTAGTACTTTAGAAATATTCTTAATATTCAAGGCTCTTTAATTTGCACAATCCCCCTGTGAGACAAGTCAGTATTATCAGCCCTACTGAAGAGTGTCAATCACAAAGCAGTTAGTTATGTTCTCAAGGCACCAGGACTAAGTGGTATAGTTGGGATTAGAAACCAGGAGGTTCTAGGTCCCTGTTCTTGCCCTTCCTCAGAGAAGCTACTCTTACTTTGGCTGAAATAAGGAAAGGCGCTCACCCTATATCAGGGGAATCTGATAGATACTCCAGCCAGAGCTCTGTTGGCACATGTGTAGAGCAAGAAGTGGAAGTCAGCTCTGGAGTAGAGCTGGTTGGAAAATGGCTTTTTTCTGTGGAAAATTTTGATTTTTTTTTGTTGAAAAACAAGAAGTTTTTATAGGAAAGTGCACTCATCTGGTGAAAACTTCCTTTTGTCAAAAACTCAGTTTTCACCATAAAATTTTCAACCAGTACTACTCAGGCGTACACAAGTGAAATTCCTTGTGACTTCAATGGGCGTTGTACCTGCCTACTCTAAAGCTGATTTTGACCCATAGTTGTAAGGGGGAGAGGAGGTTTAGAATGGCTAATATTGCAGTCAATGATCACTAAAATCCAGGGTATTTTATGATTTCCCCTGAAGAACTAGGATTAGCTCTTTGGCAGCAGAGCCCAGGAAGTCCACAAATGCTGTTGAGGCCTTAGTTAGTTCTTAATTGAATTGAAGTCTGTTTTACGATTGCTGAAAATGGCCTAACTAAGATGCTAAACATAATTTTATATTAATATGGATACAATGGCTTGATCCCCTTCTCAAATTTTAATCCAGTTCTGTAGGAACCATACAATCAAACCCCATAAAACTGAACTATATGTTGATCTCCCGTGTGCCCATAACCCTATTTTTCCCGGTCATTTCAGACATACCCCCAAATCCTTGGATACGCTGAGTTTTACTCTATATCTAGCCCATGTAATCTTGCTGGTTAGGTCAAGGCATGGGTCTTTAGCATAGCAAATGGATATTCAGCAACTTCTGTGCCTCAAGTGGATTTCTGTTATGAGAAAATTAGAGTAATCCTTTAGCAACAACTCTCTCTCTCTCAAAAAAAAACAAAAAAAAACAACTTGCTGTAGTAACACTTGATCATTAAGAATATTCTGGTTTTATAGACAGTGCCTGCTTTTTAGCAAAAGTTACTATGTGGCAAACAGTGTAGAGATAGAAAAACACAGGGACATTTTGGCAAGTACAGTAGTGGTACCTTAGGTCTAATGTATTTAACTATGAAACATGTATCCTCAAATATATCTTCACAGGAGGGATCATCTGTCCTTCTCTGCAATCAGATCTACAAAGTGCTCATCGGCATTCAGACTACTTGCATTAGAAGTTCCATTTGGCTTAGGAGTCAAAAAGATGGAATGACTAAAATGTTAAAGTGTAGCACCATCAGCACTTCTCCTAAAACCAGAATGTGAGGACTGGATGGAAATTAAGACGGAAGAGAAACATTGTGCTTTACGTCACATTAACTAGAAAACAATGGGTAAGTCATACTTAAGTCTGCACTTCAATAAACTGGCCACGTTTACAGTTCTACTGGAAAGGGATTAGGATGGGTCACATGTTTTCTCCATGGATTTTCTGTGTTTCACTCATCCTGTTTCCTCTTGGGTTTTTTGGGATTCCGAGACCGGCTCTTTGCTTTGCAGAGTGGACAGATCGGTGCGTTCCGATGAATTTGCTGGTGACATGATAAACAGGCCTGCAATGCAATGTTACATCTTATTAATTTATTTGTATTGAAATAGTGCCTAGGAATCCCAGTCATGGACCAGGACCCTGTTAGCAACCCATTTCTCTGTGAGGTAATAAACCCATGAAGTTCTGTTGAGACACATTGCTTATTGGGCATGTTACCTGCTCTAATAAGTTAACTTACTGTACAGGAAAAATAAGTAAGGCCCTGCATACTCAGTGGCGAACTGGAACTAAATTCTGCGGCAAGGTTCCTAGATCCTACAGCAACTTCAGGTCAGTTGAAAACTAAAGGATTTGTTGAATTAAATTTTCAAATGAATAAAACTGCCAGTGCAGCCTCACTTTATCATTTATTTTGATATTAAATTCAAATTTATTTTGAGCTTTCCCTCACATTTTCAAGATTTTTGTACTGACAATGTCTGACTGTATCAGAAAAATTGTTTAGGAGGCCAGCTGTGATTTCATAGATTTTAAGTCAGAAGGCACCTCTATCTAGATCATCTGGTTTGACCCCCTGTATACAACAGGCCATAGACTTCTACTCACTTATCCCTGTATTGAGCCCAATAACTTGTGCTTGACTAAACCATATCTTTCAGGATATGTCTGCAGTGGAGCTGGAGATGTAACTTCCAGCTCGGGGAGACGTGCCCATGCTAGCTCTGATTGAACTAGTGCCCTAAAAAGAAGCAATGTAGCCATGGCTACATGGGCGGTGGGACAGGCTGGCCAGCCAAAATACATACGTAGGATACTTGGAGTGGCTAGCCCATCCCGGCACCCATGTAGCTGCAGCTTCAAGTCTAGTTTTAAGCATACTAACACAGTCAAAACTAGCACAGGTACGCCTCTCCAAGCTGGAAGTTACACCTCCACATCCAGTAGGCATACCCTCGGAAAGGCATCTAGTCTTAATCTGAAGACATCAAGAGATGGAGACTCCACTACTTTCCTTAGCCATGTCTACACGTACAGTGCTCGCAGCGGCATAGTTGTACCAATGCAGCTGCGCCAGTGCAGCACGTCTGGTGAAGACACTATGCTGACGGGAGAGCGCTCTGCCGTTGACATAATAAAACCACCTCCGCAAACAGCAGAATCTATGCTGGCAGGAGACGCTCTCCCGCCGATATAGCGCTGTGCACATAATGCCGGTGTAATTTATGTTGCTCAGGAGAGTGGTTTATTCACATCCCTGAGTGACATAAGTTATGCCAACATAAGTTGTAGTGTAGATATAGACTTAGTAGTTTCTTCTAATGGTTAATCACCTTCTCTGTTAAAAATGTGTGACATATGTCTAATTTGAAATTGGCTTTAGCTTCCAGCCACTAGTTCTTGTCATGCCTTTCTCTGCTGGGTTGAAGAACCCATTAGTACCTGATATTTTCTCCTTGTGACAATAATGTTTCTCAAGCTCAGGAAGCACAGAGAGTAGAAACTGACAGTACCTGTCCTATGACTGAAGAGTCCCTACAGGGGGAGTCATACAAGATACAGAGCCTGATTCTGAACTCTCACTGACTGGTGCAGCTCTTTTAACTTCAGTGGAATTGCCTTTGGTTTACTCTAAAGCAGGCAAAATAAGAATTGGGCACATCATTATTTTTAGTGCTAATTCCTTTATAAACATGATATGTTCCAATCACCCAAGAGACAAGCCTGTGTATTTGACCCCCAAGAGATAACGCCTCACCTTCATTGGAGGTGGCTGTTGTCTGAAAGTTGCTGTCTGTCTGGTGTCCTGTTTCCTAGCCACTTGTAGCTGTTGGGCAGCAGCTGCAGCTGCAGCCAGAGATTCTGGAATGGGAGGTTCCTGTGGTTCTGTCTGCCATTCAGCTTTCTGCTTTTCAAAGTAACTATACAAAAACAAACCAAAATTATAATCAACTGCTGGCCTGTCATTTATTTATTTAACAAGCATTGATTTGTAATGACTCTTCTGTGCTAAGTATCAGAGGGGTAGCCGTGTTAGTCTGGATCTGTAAAAGCAGCAAAGAGTCCTGTGGCATCTTATAGACTAACAGACGTATTGGAGCATGAGCTTTCGTGGGTGAATACCCACTTCGTTGGATGCATGAACCCACTTCTGTGCTAAAACGTCATGGGCCAAATTCAACTCTGGTTTTCTTCTTCTAGAATCAAATGACTTGCACCAAGGACTCATTTGGACCAAATTTTTTAAAATGGGATAATGACAATAGTTAAAATACTACATGTGGCCAAAACCACAAGCCCACCGACAATCATTAATTAAGGATCATCCTAATATACATGGAGAAGACTTGTCAAGTAATGAATTCCATCCACTCTCAATATCTAGGTTTTTGTGAATTTTTTAATGTTATTGAGCCAGATTCGATCATGTAACTGGTTAGTGGAATAATTATAGCAAAGCTGATATACTATGTTTCAGGTTCTTGTTTTCAAAGTTTTATCTGCATCAACAAGCACTAAGAAATGTTTTTTATTCTTTGTTTTTAATATAAACTGAGATTTTGGAGCACAATTCTGCAGCAAGGGATGAACTGCATAATTATTAATGTAATATGTTCCAGGGGTAAGAGTTGATTTTATATATTTAAGACCACAGGAGGATCAGATTATTCACAGTGGATCAGGAAGAAATCACCCAATAAGATCACATGAGCCAAAGCAGAGAATTTGTCCCCTTCCCTTCAAGCATGAGGGGTTGGTCTCTGCTGGATACAAGGCTAGATGGGTCATTCTCGATAGAAACATTAACGTCCTCCCTGGTTTTCAAAAAGAAAAGCATATCCTTTACATTTCTTCCATAGATCCAAACATCTGGATTCAGCCACAGTTTACCAGATTAGATTCTGTGATTTTTTTTTTTTTAATAGCTGTAGCACAAATTTGAACTCTGACCAAGACTCACTAAAGCCACCCATGTAGTAGAAGACATAGTGTGGGTGATAGTTTTGGGTTCCTCTCCTCCCTTGCATCATACCCATACCTGCTACTCAAATGGAAGAAATGGATCCTTTGGAAAAAGTACCATGTAATGTAAAATTAGAGATAGAGTAGAATCAAAACCTTAGATTCAAACACCCTTTAATTTGCAGGTCAGAGCTGAGGTTTGCAGCTTTGGCTGATCTAAATGTAACTTCGATCTTTGCCCCCTATTCAGACAGAACCTTTTTGGAGGCTTGTAAAAGGCTGGCTAATTTCTGTCGCACATACATGCTTCCTCCACTTTCAATTAATTTTGTTTTTCATGATTGCCTCTGAGTTCCTACCTTCCAGCTGGGCCCAGAAACAAAAATGACAAAATGCCAACAGAATCATAACTGGTTACAAGGCCAAATAATGTTTGATCTAGAGACTTACTCAAGAGAGAGTTTCTCTTCCTCCTCACACAGATCTGGCAGCCTCTGCAAGCCCAGAGTCATCCGTAGGGCATCTACGTGCTCCTTCAGGGGTTTGTACTCTTCATGCAGGCGCCGAGTGGACTCCAAGAGCTTATTGAGGTCATTCTCAGACTGCTTGATGGTGTTCTCCATCTGAAACAGGAGATAACATTTGTTTAACAGATTGCTCCATTCACAGCTCTCTGATTCACCAGCCAGAGGTGGCAGAGTGCAAAGATGATGTTGCTCCTTTAGAAAGTGGAGCTTTTTACATTCAGATGGGTGCAGAATAGGCAGACAATGAAATGGCCAAATAAAGAGTTAACATTCTGTGGGGTGGAATATGGGCAGGGAAAAAGCAGCTGGAAGCAATTAGGCCGGGCAATGTTTTTGGGTTAAACATGTGAGGTAGTGTCAAGAAAGGATTCAGCTTGCACCTCCTTCTTCCTCTGCACAGCAGCCCAGGAAGGCCAATGTGATAACCGCTTAGCTGGATCACCAAATGCGGGCACTTTGGAAAGATTCTCAAGGAAGGTTATAAAAATAACCCTTAAAAAAAATCTCCACTGGGGCAGGGCCAACTCATTTGCATTATTTCAAGCCTTTCCAAATACCCCATGGGTTCAAAAGTTTAACTCGGATGTTGTTGAGTTCATGTTCCACTTGGGAAAGAGAGGGAGAGAAGCAGCAGAGAGAAAGATAATCTGAGGGAAACACCAAGTGCAAGTGGGACAGCGTGAAAGAGAAGCAGGGAGTGGAGGGGGTGAGAAAATTCTAATGACAAATGAAGGTGGTGTATGTGCCATATATTCAAGGCACCCACTTGTGCCTACCCACAGTTTGGGAGCTTTTCCATCCCTAATACAGAGCCCAGGCTTCCCTTTAGCTCAACATTTTAAAAATATTTACTCACCCTTAAGAAAAGTGTGGATTTAAAATTGCAGGTGAATGGAGCTGCTAATTCAGAATGGTTTTGCAAACCCAGCAGTTCACAAATCCTCAGCACTCTCCAGTGTACCCCTCTAATAATTACTCTCCCTATTTTGTATTAATATCCTTCACTCTCCTGCTTGTTTTACTATTTGTATTGCAGCAGTGCTTAGTTGTCTCAGGGAGAAATCGAGGCTCCCTGATTCTAGGCACTATGCAAACATAACAAACCATCCCACTATCCCTGCTTCCCAAAAAGAAAACAACCCAAACCCCAGAAAGCTGCCAAAGCCTTCCAGGTTCTAGGTGTTAAATTAGGCAGCACTAAGAGGGTTATTTGCTAGGAAGAGTCAGAATAACGTTACTATGGCTGCTGGTACCATTGCAGCAGCAATGGGTTTGGTTGTTCGTTCCCTTTGACCTAAATCCCTCCCATGTCTATTATTGAAAATCATCTTGCCTGATACAGACAAGCACTAACAGTGACTAACTTTAACTCATTTGATACAATCTATATAATCCTTTCATGCTGTCAGGAAAGCTCAGGTGGCATATCTCTAATCTGTCAACTGTATATCCTTAGGACAATCCATATGGAACTATATATAAAGTATATCCTGCCCACAATCCCCCTGCTACATACCACATTTATGTCAGCATGGATCAGCCGCAGCTCCTCCACATGGGCCATCTTTTCCTGCAGCAGAAGGTCCATCTCCTGCTTGTATTCCTTCAGGTGCCTCTCCTCCGATTCCAGGGCTTCAAACTCTGCCTTCAGGCGTGCCTTGATCTTTTCCATCTGCAAAGTCTTATTCCTACAACCCACCGGAAATTACAAATATAAAGGGACAACTGCCGTAATGTCAATGTAAATTCTGTTTGCTCAGAGACATCCCACAAGCAAATGTGTTCACATCGATAGCAAGGGGTTGGCAAAAGTTGATAAGGTCAGAACTAAAGTATATCTTTGAAAGACTGGGGTGGACTGTGCAGAATCCTGGAATCAGGGAACTCCTGGGTTCTAATCCCAACTCTGTCACTGGTCTTGTCTCCACTACAACTTTTTTATTGTATTGGACAATAGAGTTAGATTACATGAAACTTACCATGATTTAGCAGTTACTGTAGACCAGGACAATTGTGTTCAGCATTGTATCAGTCATGATTAAACCTTAATCACGAGAGAGGAAATTCTAGAGAAATGTTCATTCCTGCTGGGCTTTAAAGGAGCTTTTGAGAAATGAAGTATAGGATGCAAATGCCAACTATCTCGACAGTAGACTGAGACACTAAAATGCAGACTTTTGCTTTATACAAAGGATGTTCCAAGATATCAAAAGTTCTGATGGCATTTCAAAGCATCTAAAATTCCACCTGCAGTCCACAGGGTAGTCTCAGTTTTCTGCTGACCTCCAGCCCCTTTAATGCTATTTGTAACTGCAGCTCCATTTGTTCTACATTCCAGTTTTTGTTTCTTCTTTTTAAAATGGTGCAACCCCATATTTCTACACATAAAAGCTATGGAGTCTGGAGCAATGTCTTTCCCTCCAAAGCTAGGAGAGAGGGACTGGCTGTTTAAGCAACATAGCAGAGCTATGCTTACTATTAGTTGAATCGGCACTGCTTCATGACCATCTCCATTTTAAAACAGTTGCCCAGACAGGCAGGAACCAGTTCTAGTTCCCAATCCAGTTTAGCCAGGCCATGATTCAATTGTATTCCAATCTTCACTTTCCAAAGACATGATCTTAGAGATGCAGCCCCTGCTTTCATCAGAACTGTGCCCACCAACTCTGCTATTGTGAAGGCTTTGGAGCTGCTTCTGTTACCCCTCCTCTTACATCCCTTGTGTCCAATTCCAAGACCAAATACAATACCCGCTTAAGCCTCCGGTACTTCTGATCCCTCCCCTGTGCATTTTTAAAGTAGTCTATAGCTTCAAAGAGATCGAAAATGAAAACCAGAGGAACTGTGATCATTCTGTTGAGAAATCAAAATCTGACCAAAGACCTTCAAATAGACCAGGATCAAGTCCTTGGGTAACAAATTCTGGCTCCTATCATGGGTTTTATGGATGGGACTGAGATAACTGCAGGAGATCCAAAACACAGCACCATGGGTTATTTTTCTAGGGTGTAATATACCCATAGCAGAAATGTCCAACACTGATAATATCAATAAAAGGAGATTTTTTAAAAAAATCCTGAATGAAATTTTACATGCTTCTTTGGAACAAAATACAACAAAGTCCTTCATCACATGAGACATTTTAAAAACAGCCTTAAAAATAAAAAATCTCCCTCTAGACGTTGGATTAATGTTGCTTCTGATCAGCATCATTACACTGGGGAGTAGAAAAGCTGGCAGCAGGGGTGTGCACAGTACAAAGCCAGACATGGAATTGGATCGACTCAGAGGTCACCCAAAGATATTTACAAAGATATTCACTTAGATGAATATTTTACAGTTACAGTAGGGTTGCCACCTTTCTAATTGCTGGTAACCAGACCCCTAAAGACCCGCGCCCTACCCTGCCTATTCCACCAAGACCCCGCTCTGCCCCCGCCCCCATCACTCGCTCCTCTCTCCCCCCACCCCCATTGCTTGCTGAATTGTTTCCACGTACCTCTCCCCCACACACACACACACAAACCCCTGCCACGGAGCTGGGTTCCCTCTGCTCCAGAGCTGGAATGGGAGCTGCTGCAGCATGACTAGGAGCCTGCCTGCAGGCAGGAGGCAGCCCCAGCTGAACAGGGGCTGGTGTGGGTTAATGACCTAGCGCCTCCCCTCACCCCACAGAGACCAGACTTTTGATGTCCATCAGTACATCTGACCAGACACTGCCAGGTCCCCTCTTTGACCAGACTTTCCAGTCAAAAACCAGGCTCCTGGCAACCCTAAATGGCACCCAGACACAGAAGCCAAAAACCAGACTGTCTGGGTAAAATCCGGATGAGTGGCAACCCTAAGCTATAGGCATGTATATTTCATATGGTATATGCCATGTATTATTAAAGAGAATATTATATGCTTTATATAGATACAAACATTTTTTTTTTAAAGGAAGCCAACTGTCCCAGTTTTGAAGAATCAGAATCAGCCCATGAAAGTAAAAACGTCTGGAAAAAACCAGTCAGCTATAAAAGCATTATATTGATAAAAGTCATCCCCTAATCAAGCCAGAGATCATTTTGTCAAAACAAACGGCTACCTGAATGCATTGGTTTCTGCAGCCAGAGGCAGTGCTTATTTCAACAAGGAAGTAGTTGCTGACTGGACTTCAGTTCCAGTGGCCCAAATCAAAAGTATATTAGCCTCTGTGAAGAATTAATGGTCACTTAAGAGTTTTTCAAACGACCACAGTAAACTCTGGGGAGTTATTTAGTAATAATAATAAAGTTGTCATACTTTTTACTTTCAGGATTAATAGTGCCATTTTCTCTATATGAAGCAAACATTCATAACTGATAATCTGATGAAAATTAAGAAGAAAAACGTATCATACAACTCTCTAGAACTCACAAATTTACAAGAGTTTGGAGAGAAGTCTTTCATCCACTGCGGAGACAGGATGTGCATGATGTCTTAACAGTTTTAGAAAATGAATGCATATTTATTTTATATTTATTACTTTTGAGTGGGAGGATGAAGAGAATTAGAGCAACTGGTATTAAAATTTGTTATTCTTACAGTGTTAGGGCCCAATCTTACAGAGATTTACACAAGTGCTTAACTTTACGCACTGTGAGTAATGTGAATTTTTCAGTGCACTGTTATTAATTATGTGCTTTCCAGGAGTATCCATAATATGCTAGGCATTCTCACTCAGACAGAAGACAGTCAATGCCCAGAAGAGTTTACAATCTAAGGCCCCAGTCCTGCATCCAGATCTGCTAGCACTGAACTCTGACTCCATGTGCCGTGCCATTGACCTCAATGGGACTTTGCAAAGGAAGAGGGGGTTGCACCAGTACATTTGGAAGCAAGAGTAGGGTGGGACAGAGGGATTCAATCGAAATATATGCACTTTTAAATATACATTATGTAATTTTAAAAAGTAAATATATTAACTATACTGTCCCTTATACTTGGTCAATTTCTTGTAGCCACCACAAAAGTAGAGCTGTCGATTAATTACAGTTAACTCACGCGATTAACTCAAAAAAATTAATTGTGATTAAAAAAGTTAATCGTAATTAATCGCACTGCTAAACAATAGAATACCAATTGAAATTAAATATTTTTGGAAGTTTTTCTACATTTTCAAATATATTGATTTCTGTTACAACACAAAATACAAAGTGCACAGTGCTCACTTTATATTATTTTGATTACAAATATTTGCACTGTAAAAATGATAAACAAAAGAAATAGTATTTTCCAATTCACCTAATACAAGTACTGTAGTGCAATCTCTTTATCGTGAAAGTGTAACTTACAAATGTAGAATTTTTTTGGTTACATAACTGCACTCAAAAACAAAACAATGTAAAACTTTAGAGCCTACAAGTCCACTCAGTCCTACTTCTTGTTCAGCCAATCACTAAAACAAACAAGTTTGTTTACATTTGCAGGAGATACTGCAGCCTGCTTCTTATTTACAATGTCACCTGAAAGTGAGAACAGGTGTTCGCATGGCACTTTTGTTGCTGGCGTTGCAAGGTATTTCTTTGCTGTTACTAGTCAGTTTCATTTTCTAGTTCCAGTGTGTTGCCAGAATGCAACAACATTGGAGTTTCAGGGGACTGTTCCAACCCAAACAATAAACTTTTAATATTAAAAAACAAAGTACACCTGAATTATGAAGACATTTCCACTAATATTAGGGCATTTAAAATATTTATTTTTGAAAAAAAACCCTAAATTTGGAACCTAGCCTACATAGTTGATACTGCTCTCATTTCTATTCTTTTCCATTCTAAGTTCCTATACTGCCCTCTTCACCATACTGTCTGAGGGCTTGTCTACACTACAAAAATCAAGTCGACTTTATCTAATTGGACCTCGAGTCCCCAAATTAACTAAGTCGATAGTGCGTGGCCACACCGTGCTCATTGTCTCGATGGAATGCATCCTCGCTAGCAGTGCCTGCATCGATGCACAAAGCAGTGCATCGTGGGTAGCTATCTCCAACTGCAACTTGCCGCAGTGTGTGTTGGGAAGTCTGTGCAATGCCTCATGGGACCAAAACATTGTCACAGGGGAGAATGGGAACATTGCATTGGCATCCCATGATGCACTGTGTTCAATGGCAAACAACCCAGTGGTTTTTGCACCTTAAAACCGCCGCACATGCGCCATAACCCCAGCCTGCTCAGTTGTGCACTCTTGCTGTAAGCATCTCAAATACCTCGCGCCTTCTCCTGCAGTATTTCCAGAGCCGAAGTAGGGTCTGCCGCCCGGAACATAGTGATGTCTTGCAAGCAGCCCTTCTGCAAGCCATTGAAAAAAAACAATTCACAGTTGCTGCTGGCAGTCACAGAGCAGCTGCAGTCTGTTGAGCGCCATGTCTGGTCCCGTGGAACAAGCGCTGATTAGTGGGACCGCATCATTTTGCGGGTATGGGATGATGAGCAGTAGCTACAGAACTTTCGAATGCAGAAGGCCACCTTCCAGGAACTTTGTGCAAAGCTTTCCCCTGCGCTGCAGTTCAACAACACAAAAATGAGAGCTGCTCTGACAGTGGAGAAACGAGTGGCGATCGCTATTTGGAAGCTTGCAACACCAGACAGTTACCGGTCAGTGGGGAATCAATTTGGAGTAGGTAAATCAACAGTGGGAGCTGCGTTGCTCCAAATATGCATGGCCATTA